TCCCTTTCTTTTTTGGGTTTTTGAGACAGAGTCTCACCATGTAGCCCAGGCTGGCCTTGAAATCACCGAGAGCCTTCTGCCTCAGCCTCCCAGATGCTGGATTACAGGTGTGCGCCACCACACCCGGCACACTATTTATTTCTAATAGTTTCTGCTTTCCATAGTACAAAATTGTGCTTTTAACTGCAAAAGGAGCTGTGCTTATTATACCAGGGTTCTTGGGAGCAACAACAGAAACTGATTTGTCTGGTGGAACACGATGGGGGTTTCCTGGGCAGGCCATGGTGCTGCCACTGCCCCTCCACACTGCCACTGGACGTGGCTGCTGTCTGCCTCTGCCTCCCAGGAGACTCTGTGGCAGCTTCAGGGCAGGGTGGGCACCATATTCCCACCAGGAAACAGAGAAGGTGTGCCAGTGGGTGGCCCAGATCACACCTTCCTGTTTGTTCCTGCTACCAAGGTGCAGTAACCACCATTTTCCGTGATAGCCTCGGAGTGTTTTTCAGCATTGCCAAGCCTGGGCTTTGTTTTTGTTTTATTTTCGTGGATGAAGGCTTCCAGTGTCTTTATTCAAATTAACACACGCTGGACCTTTCAGAAGGCAGAGCGAGGGGGCCTTTCTCCATCCGGGTAATCCCGCAGCTCCCTGAAGTGCGCCCTGAGGACTGTAGAGCTGCGCACGCGTATTGCGCGCCTCTTTCCTAGGCGTCCCTTGTTTTATTTACGTGGAATGAAATTACTGCATTAACAGGAAGTGAAGGAGAGACCTGAGAGCCTGGGTCACTGTGTTAGGGAGCACACCAGGTGACAGACCCCGTGTGACTCTCAGAACGAGCATGGGCTTATCCCGTTCCACCTCTTGGGGTCACTCTCAGCACTCCGCTGAGCTCGCAAAGTGGGGGAAGCGCTGGCATTTGCCTTGACCTACTTCTGCGAGCCCGGGGTCCTGGGACATTATCATATTAACCAGGAGAAGAGGCAGGAGGCCGAGCTCCCTGTCAGCTCTTCTCAATTCAGTTAATTTTCCAGGAATAAACACGCTAGGGGCAGCAGCCTCGTAGTCCCTGAAGGAGTCAGGGACGCTGCGTGCCGCCAGCCCTGCTAGTGAGCCTCGTTTCCTGCGAGGGCAGACACAGATATGTTATGCAGAAAAAGCTCACGTGAGTTTTCCAGGTAGATAACGAGATGTCAAAGCAATTCTGGGTGAGTGGCAGCGTGACTGGGCCTGTCCCCTGTGCTTTTTGGGGGTGCTCTCTGATATTGCGCGCGCTGCAGTAGAAAAGCTGGTGAAGCAGTGCTTTCGGCGACATTTCACCCTTGAACTGGTCAGATCATCCAAAATCGGAAACGGGATGCCTGAGGGTCCCCTCGAATGGTTTCCTGCCGACCGGCTCTTTGGTGGAGAGCTGCCTTGCGGTTCTGTCTGTCACAGGGCTCTCCTCGCTAGCTGGGACGGCGCTGCAGAGAGAAGTTTCTCTCAGGCTCAGAAGATGTGCAGTGGCTTCTTACCAGGAGGACACTGCAGACACATAACAGAGTGCAAGCTGCTTTGGTGCTGGCCTCGGTAAGGTCAGAGATGCAGGAGGGCGCCGTGGGCCGCCAGTGTGGAAATGCTTTGGGGCTGTGTGTGCACCAACCTGAACTGCATCTCACCTTATCTGTTTTTTGTTTTTATTTCCTTCCATCCCGTTTCCTGACCGATTCTAATTTCTATTTTATATTAAATTTTTTTCCCCTCTTGCTTAGAGTGGAGCTCAGGGCCTTGTGAATGCTATGTCAATGCTATACCACTGAGCTACAACCCAGCCTTTTTGTCTTTATCTTTTTATTGTGAGACAGGGTCTCACTAAGTAGCCTAGGCTGACCTTGAACTTGTGAGCTTCCTGTTTCAGCCTCCCAGGAGCCAGGATTCCAGGTGTGAGCGACCCTTCCTGACTGTATGGTGTGCTTTGTGCATCTGTAGGCCAGAAGAAGAGAGTCACGAGTGTCACAGATAGGCATAGCCAGCAGGTGGTGGCCTTGGCCAGCGGGGAAGCCGGGTCCATTTGAGTGGGTAAGAAGCTGGTGCCTGCTGGGCAGAAGGAGGCGTGGTCCCCATGGGCCTGAAGGCCTCAATACAGAGTCAAGCTTTGCATAACAACTTCCCTTCCCCAGCACTGGTTAATTAGTTAACGGTTCACATTTTCCACCAAATTGATGGCATAAATGTACAAAGTTACTTCTGATCAAGGGGTAATGGGCGTTCCATGTACTGGATTTTACACAAACTCCTACTGAATTTATAAGAAATGCAGACTGTGGCTGGGTGCAGTGGTGCATGCCTGTAACCCAGCTCCTCAGGGATCGTGAGTTCAAGGCCAGCCTGGCCTTCACAGGGAAACCCGACTCAGGAAGGAAAATGAAAGGAAACAAATGGAATGCATTTTATACTGAAAGCCACCTAGAAGAGTTAAAATAGTACTGTAAATGATTTTTTTTTTTTTCTTCCGGTACCGGAAATCGAACTCACAATCTTGTGCTTGCCAGGCAGGGGCTATGCCGCTGAGCTAAATTCCCAGCCCCTGTAAATGATCTTTTTAAAAAATTACTTTTTAAAGCAAATTTGTTTGTACATTTACTTTTCTTTTTCTTTCTTTCTTTCTTTTTTTTTTTTGAGGCAGGGTCTCTCTATGCAATTCAGGCTGGCCCTGAGCTCACTTTGTAGCCCAGGCTAGTCTCGAACTTGCAACGATCCTCCTGCCTCAGCCTCCCAAGTGCTAGGATTACAGGCACGTGCCACCACACCTGGCTTGTCTTTTTCTTTTCTCTCCTCCCCTCTCCTCCCCAAAGATTTACACCTCC